GGTTCGACACGAGGTAGGCAAATAAGAATTCTCAAAGTCCTTCAACTCTCTCTCTCCCTAGCTGCCCGGAATGATTGTGTTAAGATACCCAACTTCGCCGGGATTTCAGCTAATTCTGTAGCACTTATCGGAGGGTTATGGGAGTGGACGCGATGTTGCGAACTCCACATCGGAACTGGGCGACGTGCTTGAGCAGCCATACTTCGGTTGCTGCCTTTTGCTCAATAAACTTATTCTGCAGTTCAGAATAAGTTTATTGAGCATGGGGCGGCCTCGGCTAGTCGCGACGCGACCTTTCATGGAGGAATCGGAGTATGGGTGCCCAAGCATGTCGCCCCAGTTCCGATGGAGTTCGCAACTTCGCGTCCACTTCCGTAACCCTCCGATAAGTGCTACAGAATCAGTTGAAATCCTGGCGAAGTTGGGAATCAGAATGTTCGAGAGAGTATGTCTGAGACACCCACGGAGTATTGCGAGACGAGGGCTTCAAAGTTTCTCTGAATTGGGCTCTTCTCATTCAGCTGGTGCTTTTCTGGAAGTGATCTTACCCTTCCTTTAGACCTTGTATCATCTGATCACGACCTATGATTCTCATAATTATATCGTAGGCATTCGCTTCCTCGTCCCCCCGCAAGAATGGCCCTTCTGCCGCTTTTGAGGTTCTCTAATCCGTCTTCTACCATCATTCAGTGACACCAATCTACTATTATACTACATCAAAGAGTTCAATGGTATATATTGAGTTTAAAATATCGAGCCGCAAAGACTGTCATCTTGAGCATTACCTGGACAGTGGGGACGGCTTCCACGACAGTATCCGGTCGTGAGGCAAAACTGTCATCATTTGATTGGATAAGGCTGTCTCTGAACGTATTCTTCTCTATTTGGGTTCGCTCCTCTCGGAATTTGCCAAAATGAGGTAATCCCTGGAAACAGTTAGATATAACAATACACACTTATTTTTGTTCATAATACTCACCGTGTTTATCACTGTAACTGGTTTCCCTTTTTGTTGCCTCTCAATCGGAGGACTCTGCCCATCCCAATCCTTAAGAGTTTTAGCGCCTTTCAGGTAAAGAAGAGCTCGCAGACCAGTACAGTAGTCGTCTATCACGGTGAAGTCCTGATTTTGAACAGCTGAGCGATCGGAGGGCTCTGCCCATCCCAATCCTTTAGAGTTTTAGCGCCTTTCAGGTAAAGAAGAGCTCGCAGACCAGTACAGTAGTCGTCTATCACGGTGTAATCCTGGTTTTGAACAGCTGAGCAGACCTGAGAAAAATGTTATTATAAGTCAGTTGCTGAGTAGTTGGATAAGGCCAATGTTAGGCTCAGCGCACAAGCAGAGTCGGTCCACGACATCCCACTTTGCCCTATTGGAACTTCGATAGGTAATGGCCATTCCTCAACTAGAGGGTTCAGACATGGCACATTCATCTGACTTGGGCATCACCTCTGAGGCTGTGGTATGTACATGTAAAACTCTTTCGATTTTTTGGAAATGAATAGTTTTGCTTTACGTCAAAGCTCTAAGATTTTGGTTATTGAAAGATCATTTGTAAAGAGACGCAAAACTCATATTTTTACCTGAAGGACAGAAGCACCGGCCGATAGGAATGCTAAGCCAGTTTCAGCACTTTCTATACCACCGGTTGCCATTATAGGGAATCCTTTCAGATCATTGGCAATAGCGGATACTGCTTTAAGAGCAATGGGTCGAATAGCCGATCCAGACATTCCACCGTATGTTGTCCTGAGAAAATTCATGCAGCAATTTATTCGAAAATTTCGATTGACGTTTCTAGTTGAATATAGTATAGGGATCATTGTTATAAATTTCGTTATCAAGGAATAATCGATCTATGGCTCACATCATAATAACTATTGAAACCTCGAAAACATGTGTGAAAGCATGATGAACATTAAAAGGTAATAGAACGAATTAAGTATAATCTAGTCTGTCATAAGAAGGCGATATTCGATGTTCATTCATAATATGGATGAGCAGAGAACAGTGCTAAAGCTAAAAGGGGGGGGGGGGGGGGGGGGGGTGTGGCGGAACTCTCCGATTTCCTACGTTTGCTTTGCGGCATACGGCAAATTTTTTTAGTTGTCTCGCGGCTCAAACTGCAATGACCGTACTCTGCCCATATCCCGCCCACCTCCCGGTCAATCGACATGACACCATATTTTACGTTGGATGTCTTTCTTTTTGATTGGTTTTGATTGTCTGTCTGTTTCTTTTTTGTTTTTGTTTTGATCGTTCGGGATAGGATGACTCAGCCTCTATTATCGACTATGAAGACCGCTTCGGGAATGAAGAGAATAATTAGCAAATGGAATGAATTAAAGGAATCCCTAACTGATGGGAGATTGGAGCACGCAATTTGAGAATTAGGGAGTTCTTTAATCATTTGAGTTTGCTGACCGCTCCCTTCAATTTCAATGTAGATTTGATTTTCGATGATATAGGAGGAGTCATTTCAAACAATCAAGTCTAATAAACATAAAAACGAAAAAGAAACAAAAAAATCAATTAAAACTAATCAAAAAAGAAGGGCAGCCAATGAAAAATATTGCGTCTTATCGATCGGCAGGGACGCGGGATGAGTACGGTAGTTGCAGTGTGAAGTCGCGGGACAACTAGAAAAGATTTGCCGCACGCCGCAAAGCGGATGTGAGAAATCGGGGAGAAGTATCGTCACCCGTCATAATATGCTTTCACCTTTCCAATAATCAGGAAAGAATCCCGCCGGAGCTGACAACACACCGCAATCAGCGTTTCATCTCTTAGGCTCCGGTTAAGCAATGCATAGTTGTCTTGAAGGATAAGGGCACTGACGTGTCAATGGCTAAGCTCCACAACTCATCATATGGGTGAAAAACGTATTAAACGCCACCTAATCGCAAAGAATGGACGAATGCCAAATCGCATTTAGGCGTGATTGATCTGAGACGTACTTCCTCAATCTAGTTCATTCGAAAATAACAAGAAATGTCGAAACTACTTGAGAAACTCCAAAGTCAACAGCTTATCCGGTTATCAACGATCAACAATTTATTACTGGTGAGCCTTTACCTATTAAGTTTATCTATCAAAAGCTTCATCATGAATACTAAATTTGGATCTAACTCAATTACCTTTTTTCCATTCCAACTGCTGGCCATGCGGTTCCATCAGCCTTCATATGCATGAGTCCTGATACCGTATTCGTGGCGGTAACCCCATTAGCCCCTCCTTCCTTGGCAGCTCGAGCGATCGTACGGATATCAGTGATGTTGGGAGTCATTTTAGGGAAGAACGGTATCTATGACGTTTGCTTATTACAGGATACATGGGGAAGATGTTTAAAAGAAAACAAAAAAATCTCGAAATGAAGTCAGGCCATACGCTTGTTAGTTCTCACCTTCACTGCCTTCCTCACCCAACTACATATCGTTTTGACGATTTCCGGATCCTGCCCACAGGCCATGCCCATTCCTTAACAACCACATTTACAATCCCTTCAAGATACAAAGTCATGAAAGAGAAATGGAAGAATAAANGCGTATGTGGCCAATACAATGACTTGCGGTGGCCAGTCGATGCACAGGTCAGTGCTTTTATCCTCTCAGACGAGTCTGGTGCCAATTTACCGACCCCAAAAGGATGGAAGGCTTGGTTGACTTGGAAGGCATAGGCCGATCCGAGATTCGGACCCTTGACCATGCATGTGTGAAGTGCGCCATTTGCCACTACACCACCTCCGCCCTACTGTTCCAAACACCATATGTAAAGCCAGACTGTTCGATTTCCCGAGAATTGTTTAATTAAGTGGGTTTCATAAAACGGATAGAGTAGCCATGTATGTTGTTCAAACGAACAATGCATTTTACTTGCTCATACCGCAAATTTATCCTCAGTGCATCGCGATGTCGTCAATTGTGGTCAAGGAACTTGATTTTTGAATGAATAATTTCGAGAGACTTGAAGTCAAATATACATAAACTATTTTCGTTTGAAGTAGTTCTTCGTACTCACCTTTTTCGCCCATTCCATGAGGGCATGAAAGATTCAACTCCAAAATGTCGGCACCAGCATCCTCAGCTTGTGTGGCAAGCAAGACCCAATCTTCCTTGAGAAAATCAAAAAACGTAGGAAAGGATTCATGAATGTGAAAAATCTAGTGAAAAACGGGTCTTTGAACTCGCGGCCATTTTAATTTCCTCAAAACTACAGTGCTGTGATAGCGAGATCCTACAAAAAGCAACTGCAACCAATAACTGACTCAGGAGCTTTGAAACTTTCAGTATTTTGGCAGCTAAAACCCTGCATTTCAGTTTGCTTTTTCGGTTCCTACACCAAACAAGGGCGGGTTCTCAAAGAGCAAAGCTTCGGACTGCCTCAAGGGCTGACAAATTTTGCAGTTCATCAGTTTCGCAGAAGCAAACCTGTTTGAAAAAAAATTAAGAAAAAAAGCAGAACTTTCCTACCTGATTGAAGGTGCACATGATGGAAGCAATAACGACTTTCGTGGGAAAGTCTCGTTTCAATTCACGGATACATTGAAGCCAATAGGCAGCAGATTTTTCCGAAATCAACTCAATATTCAAGAAAGATCCCTGAAAAGGTACTGTGGAGAATTTCATAAAGCTAAACTCAGGTTCATTGTAGTTGCCATCACAAATGGCATTTCACCTGATTCGGACCATAGATTGGTCCACTCGTTGATCCTTTGACGATTCGAGGTGACACATTTGTAACGAGGTCCTAGAACGATTCCAGAAATCTCTTCGCTTTCCAGAAGGAAAACTAGACAATTATCTAATAGTCGGATCGGTTTTTCACTCTGTATTCGATATTGTATTCATTGTAAAGATGAGCAATCGAAGAAACGATACCTTATCCAGTCCAAACGTTTTTGTCACAACGAATCCCCACCCCTGCTCGAAAGCTCGGCGACACATTGGCCCTGATGTTGTTGGAGGAGCCGAAGCTAGCCCAAATGGATTCTCAAATTTCACTCCGCACATCTCCACTGATATATCAATCTGAATATGTATATAAGGTGTGCGCACTAAGCATTTGAGACTTTTTACCTCATCAATAGGAGTGTAGAACATTGGAAGTTTCGGAGTGTTACCGACATCGTTCCCATGAAGTGACTGAATGTACTTGTGAATTGACCAAGCCGCTACCTAAATAAGAAGAACGACTCACAACGATCATAGCATGCAATAGATTTGGCTAAATCGCAATCTTGAAATACTTCCAAGATTGGTATGAATCGAAGGGCGGGACAGTCAACACCGGAAGAGGTTCGTTACTTTTTTTATACTGTGTTGTCTAGTAATCCCAGCAGAGTAATCCCAGCAATAATAGTTAACCGAATTTACCTTCCCATCATTCACAGACTCGACTGTCGTCTCAGCTACACCTGCGACGTCCCCACCCGCAAATACACCTGGCACATCAGTTGCTTGGGTGGTCTTATCGACTTTTGGCGTTCCCAGTTTGTTCATTCCAACAGGCGCCATAGCAGATACCACTGAAATCAGATCGAATTGAAAAATGGTAAGCTTTATTTCACAGCAGTCACAGATGAATCCTATCGTGAATGTAGTTGTCGAGACAACAGAAGACGAATTTTGGGATTGTGATAGACATAATTGAAACCAGTACTCGGTACATTCAAGCAACCAGATCACTTCATGATCATACAGTGAATCTGCCGAGTCCCGCCCCCTGTGGATGGGGTTTGAGCGGAAACTCATAGGACCTGTCCCAGTGGAACTAGAGCGTTCAAATTTGCAGGAGCACAGGTCAACTTTAAAATTTCTAGGTCCACCGAGACAGGAGTTATGATTTTCCAAAATGTTTTCATTAAGCACTGCATTTTTGGAGAACGCCCCGCCCATCGAGTGTGGGTCTCCCCAGTTTGTTCTAACTTACCAATGCACACCTCTAGTCACCTTTGAACCCCAGTTTTGAAGCCGTCTTGTGACTGAATTTGAAATCATGGTCCTCCGTACAGCTCATTTGATGCACGCCACGCCCACTGTGGGCGGGGCTCCGCCAAACGGATGTGTGCCTTATACTCCTCGGGGAATGCCTACCATCCCACGCTTAGCCCGGTCTCTCCAGGCAGATCTAAGGAGCTAACTAATTTCGTGACGGACACACATAACGACAGACGACAGACGACAGACAGACGACAGACGACAGACGAAGCGCTTTATAGTAAGTAGGATCTGTAAAGATAAGTAACGAGCCATCTGGATCAAGAAGAGTCGAGCCGAATGCAGAGATAATGTAATCAGCCTTGAGAGTCAGTTGCTGCTCTTCATCTTCGTACCTATAAAGAGTATAGTGACTCAAAATAGAAGTGGAGGTGGCATTGTGTGCAAATTTTTCGTGCCGCGAGCGACAGTCTACCCTGCTCCCGCATAAATAACGTGCACCCACAGATTGCTGAGAACTCGTGTTTCGCGATGTTCTGGAAAAGTCTCCAATTGAAAGTTGTGTTAAGTATCAATCAGAGTTTGCACACGACGCCAAATTTCAAATGTTGTATATGGAGAAGTGCTGTTATATTTCGCAAAAAGATAGTACACAGCATGTTTTCTCGCCTCCTCGCATTTTCGCTTGGTATAACTGCTCTTTCAATGTAATCTATTCATTTATATGTCATGGCTGCAGTGAAACTATTGGTAGAATTCGGAAAGGGTCATATTTTCGAAAAGCAAAGGCACGAATCGTCTAACCCACGAATCTCCTGGGCCGCTGCCGTGACGTCCTCAACAGATTCCTCGAGAGTGTGATGCCTATGAGGACAAATAGCCTACAGGGCGCCCTCTAGTGCGTTCGATAAGAGAGAAGCGACGTATTCTACCAAAACATCGAACTTCACAAAGCCATGTGCGGGGATGAAATTTCCGTCGCAGTCGATGTCTCAATAGAAAGAGTTTATCTGGTGGTACTAATGTCCAAGTTACCGCTTGTCAGAAAATGAGGAAGGCTTCATTCATGACGGAGAATCACCAGGAAAACCGAGTCGATGCCGTGGAAAAGACACTTCGATTTGATTGGAAGAAGGTGGCTGTTCCTTCTCAAGATTCAATCTTCTGTCATCAAATGTTTTTCTCTTCGGGCTGTGTTTTTCAATGAACT